GAGGGAGGGAGGGAGGGAAGGAGGGAGGGAGGTGGGAGGGGAGCAGAACACATGTCACTATATAGAGGTTTGGGTGTACTTTTTAGTTGCCACATCAGTCTTGAAAACACTGTTTTGTTTGACTAAGCATCTGGTTTGCACAGTGTATTGAGTATATTTTAAGGGTTAAAAATACAGTTTTTTTGGAGTCAGATTGCCAAATTTGACTCCCAGCACTACCACTTTTTACCTGTCTATTTTTGGATAAATTGCTTAAATTACTTCATTTTGTGTTTTCCACTCTGAAAAAGATAGATGATGGTACTCTGGTAATGGAATCATTTTGAAGATTAATGAAGTGATATTTACATATATTACTCAATGGTACACAATATAGAAAATGTTCAGTATCCTTCAACTATTGTTAATATTAGTTCTGCTTTTATATTAACCTAATTTTGATTTCCAGTTTCCTCACCAAACTTAAAAGGTAGTTTATTTTTAGCTTCATTGTTTCAGAAAACACTTTGTAATGCTTATAATAATTTAAGAATTAGTAATGTTAATGTATCTATTTTATACATTGAAGAAAAAAATTTAATCTCAACCAATTTAATAGTACAAAAGAACTAAAATAGACCATTTGTTTTAGGATGATTTAGAAGAAAAACAACTTAAATATGTCAAGAAACTGGTACAGTGTTATCAGAATGGACTTGTATCCTTTATATGTGTGTGTGTTCATTTCATTTGCCCTGAAGCACAAGAAAATTACTAAATTCCAATTGATGTTATAAAAAGTTGTCATAAACTTAGTAACTTAGAACAATGTAAATGTGTCATCTGCTAGTTCTGGAGATCAGAAGCCCAGAATTAAAGTTCAGGCTAAAGTCAGGGTGTCAGTAGAGATTGGTTCTTCTGAAGATTCAGGGGTTGGGGAGGTTTCCTTGACTTTCCTGCCTGCTAGAAGCTTCCTTTGGCTCATGAATTTGTTCCCCGAAGTGTCCTCACTCTCACCTTTGCTGTGTCATAGTGTCTCCTCCTGTCTCTGATACTCTTCTGTCTCCCTTGTTCCCTAATAAGGATCCCAGTAGTTACAGCTGGTTTGGACTAAGATCCTAAATCACATTTGAAAGTTTAAGGCAGCATGTTCTAAGGTTCCTGCGATTAGGACATGGGCATCACTGTATATTGTTATTATCTGTGGATAATGTCAGGTTCTATAGCCTCAGAAAGCCATGAGTATAATTAGAAGGGCCCCATCAGTCTTGTTTCTGCCAATTTACATGGGCAGTTGTACCTAGATAAGTTTTTTCCTTCTCCCTTAGGAAGTAAGCATCATCATACCTCCTTAGCCTATTAAGATGATCAGATGAGATAATGTCCATTCACATGCTTGATAATCTATTTTATAAATATATTGTCCTAACTGAATGTACCACCCTCATTAAAATAATTGGAAACCAGTGCTCAACCCTCAAAACTATCCTGTGTGTAAAAACGAATTTCTTGCTGGTGGCTGTTTCTTAAACTTATACACATAGATGCTATTGCAAAATAGAATGAAAGTTCAAAATTGCTTAGATAATTATAAATGTTTTAAATTGTCTGATCTCTTGGGGCTATAGAGCTGTCTCAACAGTTAAGAGCACTAGCTGCTTTTACAGAGGACTCCAGTTTGGTTTCCAAGCACCCACATGGTGGCTAAGAAACATTCATAACTTCAGTTCAGAGTTCAATGATCTCTTCTGGCTTCTACAGGCATTGCATGCACATAGTGCACTTACATACATGCAGGCAAAGCACACATGCACATAAAATAAATAGATAGATAGATAGATAGATAGATAGATAGATAGATAGATAGATGATAGATGATGATAGATAGATAGATAGAAAGATAGATAGATAGATAGATAGATAGATAGATAAAGAGATAGAAAGATGGATAGATAGAATAGATAGATATATAAAGAGAGAGAGAGATAGATGATAGATGATAGATAGATGATAGATGATGATAGATAGATTAGATAGATAGATAGATAGATAGATAGATAGATAGATAGATAGATAGATAGATAGATAGAAAATGTCCACTCTCAAACTGGGTATGGTGACTCATGCCTGCAATCTTAGCACTTAGGAGGTAGAGGCAAGAGGATCAAGTCTGATCTCAAAACATAACAAGTTTGAGCACAGCCTGGGTTGAATGACACCCTGTTCAGAACAACAGAAGTGCCCACTCTTCCTTTATATACTCATCTGTCATAGTCTTCCACTTCCAGGACAGACAATGGTCCACAGACCCCACTTGGAGTAGAACTGACCTGACTCTTTGCTAACAGTTGTCTGACTTGGTTTAATGAAGATGCTAGTCTAATAATAGCTTATGTAATTTTTAAAATATGGCATTTAGTTTTCCATTTAGAGAAATGTACATACCATGTAACTTTATCTAAATCTTTTCTTTATGTTAGCCTTGTTTGATGTGAATCTAATGGACCAATCCGAGAGCTTGTGTGTTTGTATTAGGAACTACTTACTGGTAACAAAGAAAGTCTACTAACAAGTGATTTCTTTTACTGTTTCACCTGACGCCTCAGCACCTCTTTCATTGGTTTTTCCAAAGAATTAGATAGTTGGTAGCAAATGGCTTCATTTCTGAATGCATTTAATAGGCTAACTTTAGAGATTGTAAAACTTCATGCAGGTACATCAAGGAAGTGTCTTGGTCACATCACTAGGAAGTTGTTAAAAGACTTTTCCTGGAAAGATGTGAACAGATACTTATTTGCCCCAAATAGGGCACCAAGGGCAGACCAAAGAAACAATTCTACCCATCTAGTTTACTGAACCAGTAGTTTATTGGGATTACTTAAAGGCATATGGATGAGGGGTTACTTAGAGGGGTATCGATGACTCAGATACCTGCATCATTGAAAATCCCCCTACATCTTGAGTGATGACTCATGAAAGCTGTATCCCTGCACAGCTTATAGGCAGCTTGGCCACTTGGAGAGTCTCCTCTCCCCAGCTATTGTTTACTGCTTATATAATCTTGGGAAGGGCCATATGAAACTTGTAAGTTTCAGCATTCTGAGATTTGTAAACTTGTTTACTTTCTGAGTTTCATGAACCTTCTTTAAGAGAGAATGTTTCAAGTTGAAGGAAATTGCTACACAACACCACTCCTTTTTCCAGCTCTTACATTCTTTATGCATTCTCACCTGCAATGTTTCCTGGGCCTTGGAGGGAGCAGGTTATATAGATGTGTGATTATTTTCCTCAACCTATGGCAAAGTATTGGGCCACTTTACCCCAACAACAGTCACATAGTGCCTGTAACAGTTATGCCACTATTGCACCAGTGGACACATCAATCTGAGCATGTTGGCACTATTTTATATGCGGGGTAGATAGCTAGGCAGGACCGTTGGTGACCGTTATCCCTCTGCAGCATACATAGTATCTTCCAGCACTATGGAAGCCAGCCATTGAAAAGGCAGTTTCCAGTTCAGGTCCAGTTTAATTTTTCCATGTCCTGCAACCAAAGCATGACAAGAAACTTAATATCTAGTTCTGGCGTACAATAGCCCTTATGGTTTGAGATGCTTTAGGGGCCCTTGTGGCCAGTAACTCACAGAGAAGTAGCCTACCCCTAACACTGAGATTTTCATTTAGCAACCTTATGGCTTTGGATGTGGCTTTTCACACTTGTAAGGGATAGCTTCCTTAAAACTCTTGTTTTTGTTTTTATTCTTCTTCCAGATGCCTTAACAAATATGCAAGACACTCAGAAGTTAGCACAGTATTACCCATATAATAAAACCTTTTTACAGAGGGTGGGCAGGATCTCTGAAGGCCTATCACTGTCCATTCCTAGGAAATCAGTTGATCTCAAGAATCACCATCTAAAGGGATACTAAAGTAAAATATTGGCAAGGTCTAATACAACATGAAGATATTTCATCACTTGTTTAGTCAAAAAAATAATGTGGATGCAGCAGCATAGTTGGGGGACTCTACCCCATCCAGCCCTCCATAATCCACAGACATTCTAAATAAGCGGTTTTGCTTCCTCATCCTGTGTCACTGCCATGGGCCTCCTGAGCATTTCTCTACCCACAAAAAGCCAGCCAGGGCTGGCTTATACTGCGCTGACTTGTCCAAGGTCAAGGAGGAGCAGGATCAGTCACATTCAGGCCTGCTTCACCTGCTGCTCAAGATAGCTCCCAGTGTCTACAGGTTCTGGGTTGGCATTGTGACTGCAGCTGTTTGCTGTTGCCTCTCCTCAGCCACATCTAGATGCTGTGATAGGCCCAGGCTAGGTTAACAGTTCCCACCCCCAACATACCATTTACAGGAGAGAAATGCATCAGTTTATTGTACGTTTACTCATAATTGCCCACTCCTGGACAGGCTTAGTCTTTTTCATCTGATTTATCATTTATGCCTTCCTGTTCTTCAGGTTTTAAAGCCTTCCAGAAGCTCTGTCAATTTTTTCCTTAGGAAATCTGCCTGGACACAAATTCTTTACATTCGCTTTCAAGTAACTTGGACAGACTCCTCTGCTTTGCCCTTCTTTCAGCTTCTCTAGGTTGCTTCAGCACTGTGCAGTCCTGATTTACATGTCAATTTATAGGCTGGTGTAAGTCACTCAGATCCCTAGAGCTCTTCCGACCTCATAATGATCAGGCTCAGCATGGAGCTCAGTAAAGCCACCTGAACTGAGATTCCTGTTGAATCAACCTCTTTTTCTTGTCCTATTGACCATGGTTCTATCTGGCCTGGTGAACTGGGCATAAATGACAACTCACTCATACTCAGTTCCCTCGGTAATACCTGTTTCTCGATTGTCTTCCAGTCTTGATATTCTTGGGCACCTCAGTCAGTGATAACCAAGTGTCCCTAGTGGTTCATATGAGCCAGTCCATCAGGAACTGGTTTTCTCATTGCCTCAGACTATGCAGCTTGTTTCTCAAGGAGGGGTAGTTCTATAACTCAGCTCCTCCATGTCCACAGCACTCAGATTGATTCCATCTACCCCTCGTGTCCCACATCCTTATGAACCACACTGTGACAGGCTCTGTCATTGCCTATTTAAAAGACTTTTCAATTCAAGCAGTTTAGGTGCTGAGGAGTCCCTGATTATCATAGTTTTCTTTCCTACTGGGCATTATTAAGGCCCATGTCTGTATGTTGAATCACAGATTTTCCCTTTTTACTTATTAAATATTGGACCTGAAGGGTATCTTCTGTCACTTCTCCCTTGTTCTCTTCCTCATCACTGTCTGATTCTTCCTATAGATTCTATGTTTTGGGATCTCTGGGAGACCTTTTCAGCACAGATCTAACTGAAACTCTCTTTCCCTTTCATTTCTTCTCTCCAGCCTTGAGAAACAGCAAGCTAACACCTCCATCCCATCCTCTATTTTATCCATTTTTTTCCCCAAATCAGAGACTATCATGGAAGATGCTTGCTGCATGTCCCTTTCCCATTGTGATTCTTCCTTTAAATAAGCAAGTTCCCTCTGGGCAGCCATCTTGGCCTTATTTGCATACCGTATTATATGTAGCAGTGGCCACACAGTAGAAGCCAGCACAAATTGCTCACAGTCTTCTCTCTTGTATGCTACTCTTGGGGACTGTAGTGCATTATGTAGTCCTTCAGCAGGAACACCATGTGGGTGCTGGGAACCAAACCCAGGTCCTCTACAAGAGCAGCAAGTGCTCTTAACCCCATATTGTGTTTTATAAACAGGCAAAATAAAAGATGTTTTCACTGTGGCTGGAGAGATGGCTCAGTGGTTAAGAGCAATGGCTGCTCTTGCAGAAGATTTAGGGGTTCAAATCCCAACACCCACATGGTGGCTAGCAGCCATCTATAACTCTAATTCCAGGGATCCAACACCCTCTTCTGACTTCTGCAGGCGTTGTATGACATGGATGCATTTACATACATACAGGCAATACACTCATACACATAAAATAATAAAAATAATAAAATATTTTTTAAAATGTTGTTTTTACCTGAAGATCTAGAGAAGATACATTTTGCTTTCATGGGTTTTAAATGAAATCCAAACAATTTAACATTAAGTAGAAGAATGCATCTGAACATAATAAAGTACTACAGTAAAATGGGATTTGGGCTGGTTATTCAGGACAATACGTGTTTGTAAAGTGGGTTGAAATAAAGGGTACTGAGACAAAAATAAATAATTTTGCAAAAAATATAGTTAGAAACTTTCTTCTTTAAACTTCAAAATATAATTAAAATAGTGCCTAGCACATTTAACAGGATAGATAGAGCTCTGTAAACTTTCTGGGGGAAAGTCCTATAAGGAATATGTTTATAAAGAGATTAACATTAATTTTATTTCTTAACAAAAATGTTAAAGCCCCTAAGAGATTTGGCACAGATATTTAAAATTCTGAATTTGTGTGCAGAAAAAATTGAAAAACAACCCCGCTTTACAGAATCTGCATTTGGCATCCTAAAATTATGTGGGTAAGTTCTTTATCTTTATTTTGTGTTGGTATGTAGTATATTACATTTTATTTTTTGTGTTGCAAAGATATTTGGTTTATAACAGAATAAATAACATAGAACTAAAAAACAAAAGCAAAACAAGTTGGTCACCTGCTTCTAGCAGTTGATATTTCAAATGTTATTGTAGTCTAAAATTGCTAGGCACAAGAGTTAAAATGTAAGTATATATCCTAGTTTGTTTCTCCATTGCTGTAACAAAATACTCTGACCAATACCAGCATGGGGAGGAAAGGGTTTATTTAGCTTACATCTCCCAGGTCACAGTTCATCAGGAAGCCCAAGGTAGGAACTCTGGGCAGGAACCTGGAGGCAGGAGCTGGAGCACAGGCCATGGAGGAATGCTGCTTACTGGCTTGCTCCCCTGGCTCCTGCTCAGCCTACTTTCTTATGCAACATAGGCCCACCTTGCCCAGGGGTGGCACCACCCACAGTGGACTGGGCCCGCCCACATCACTCAACAATCAAGAAGGTGTCCCATGGACATGGCCAGTCCAATGAAGGCAATTCCCCAATTGAGGCTCCCTCAACCCAGGTGTGTCAAATTGACATTAAAGCTATCCCACACACTATATATAAAATGTTGTCTTATAAGTAGTTACCCTCATTTAACTGATAAATATTAGATGAAACCAAATAGCCATAGTATTTTTTAGAGAATTAAGTAAGCTTAGGGATACTTAGTTTTAGTCTAATCTTCTTTTGGGGGCTGGAGAAATGGCTCTGTGATTAAGAGCACTAGCTGATGTTGCAGAAGACCCAGGTTCGGTTCCTAGCACTCACACAGTGGATAACAACCATGAGTAACCTCAGTTCCAGGGGATCCAACACCCTCTTCTGGCCTCTGTGGGCATTGCAAGCACAGTTGGTACAGTCAAGAACTCATACACATAAAATAAAAATAAATAAATAAATTTTCTTTTTCTTTCTTTAGAAAACTTAGCTCTGAAAGATATATTAGGTGCTATGTGATGCTTCATTTGATTTTACCATCTTGAATGAAGAAAATTACATTTAGTATATATGTTAATATAAACTAGAGGTAAGAATTGTAAAATTAATATGCCATAACCCCTTTACTGTAGTTTCTGCAACCTGTTCTGGAAAGTACGTATGTAGTGCTTCTTTGCCGCCACATAGTGGCTAATCTAGATATATGTTAAAATATCCACTTTTAGTTCAGTAAGCCATAGAAACTTCTGAAGGTGAAAATAAACCTTCCTTACAGTTTTGCGTTCTAAACCTATCTGCCAATTTAATGTTTTAAATA